AGATCAATCAGTTTTTATTAATTTTTGAAAGGAGCACACTTAAGATAAGAGAGAAAATTTTCTCTCAAAAAATGTTTTGTTTTCATCGTTTAACAGAAGGAAAAAAAAAAAAAAAACAGGAAAATCCGAACTATCATTAGACCTTGGTTTAAACGCTGTGTTTCCTCCTAACCTTTCCCTTCACATGGCGTTCGCCTGTTTTTTAGCTTCAATTTCATCTTCAACTTCTTTCCTACACCACCAGCTGTGGTTTTAGTGAGCTTGAGTTTTGATTACATGCAGCTACACTATCAGCCATGCTTTCATTGGTAGAGGGGATTTCCATTGCAGTGGTGGCATTGGTGTTGTGCAAACGTACGGGTAGTTTCTTGAGCAGCGAGCTTTGTTGCTTCTTTCTTCTCATAGAAAGGCTCCACAATTTCTCTCCTGCTTGTCCTCAATTTCTTTTCCCTTATTGATCTTTCCGACTTTGCCATCACCGAAGATCACGATCAGTGCAGGTCTCGGTTGTGTTCCCTTGTGCTTTGTGTTTTAGGGATTTTCTTGCTGATTATCCGACCAATTTAGGATTCCGAGAGTTCATTGATTTTTTTTTTTTTTATGGAAAAAATGTTTTCGTTTTTACAGGGGGCACACCTACTGTGTTTCACAAGCGGCAATGGTAAGAATAGTGCCGTTGCTCCTCCTCCCCATCTTCCCATCTCTCCATTCGTTTCCCTTTTTTCTCGTTCTCCCTCCTTTTCTTTCATTGTTCCTTTTTTTTTTTCTTTCTTGCTGATTATCCGACCAATTTAGGATTCCGAGAGTTCATTGATTTTTTTTTTATRGAAAAAATGTTTTCGTTTTTACAGGGGGCACACCTACTGTGTTTCACAAGCGGCAATGGTAAGAATAGTGCCGTTGCTCCTCCTCCCCATCTTCCCATCTCTCCATTCGTTTCCCTTTTTTCTCGTTCTCCCTCCTTTTCTTTCATTGTTCCTTTTTTTTTTCCTTCTAAATCACTGTTACAGAGAACGGAGAAAAATGGGCGGTCCTGGTTCATCACTCCGCCGTTCACCACACCATAGTGAATATGAAAGAACAGTCAACAATCCCTATTACTGAGGACAGTCAGTGATCCCAGACAGTGAAGGATGGACAGAGGAGAAAGGGAAAAGGGAAGAAGAAGAGGACAAAAGAAAAGATTAATACAAGGTAAATGGCTATTTTGGGGAACAAAGTATCGTCCGCTACCTCTGAGCGTGTTCGGAGGTAGCAGACCCGCTGAATGATTTGGAGGAGTTTTCAGATTCTAGTGGGTGACTTCGGAGGTGCTGCCGAATGACCCCAAAGCACTGAAAAGCAAAACGTTTGGTGTTCAGAGGTTGATTCAGCGCTACTGAACACCACCCAATATGCTTAATAATAATAAAAGTGAAAACAAGGGTACACTTAGGATTGCAGACCAAGAGATATCTCAATGTGATCTCTTCTGAGACCTTGGCTTGATAATCCATAACAAATGGAGGGACTGAGTGCATTTGGAGTTATGTGATAGGGGAACACCACATGCTCATAGGCTAAAAGGTAAAATTTATAAAACTGTTTTAAGGCCAACAATGTTGTATGGAACAGAATGTTGGGCAATATGAGTGTTGAGATGGGTAAGTGAGAAAACCAGAAATGATAGGATCAGAAATGAACTTATTTGTAGGAACCTAAGAGTAGCTCCAATTGTTGATAAAATGAGGGAAAGCAGGCTTAGATGGTTTGTTCATATGCAGAGTAGACCATCTACAACACTACTAAGAAAAAGTTATAAGTTCAAGGGCTATAAGAGAGAGGCATACCAGTGTTTCATGGAATCTCCTAAATGGATGATGTGTTGTCAGGCACATCTGTAATTTTGACCTATTTCCCCTAATTCAAAACTTTTCACAACTTTGGGGAAAGTCTATAATTGTTGCAATTAAACACTGAGACCCTTCATAACCTTGCCAATCCCTAAGAGCTAAAATCACCTCTAAATCCTTCCTTGGATGTTACTAACCTATTCAGCTCAAGCCTTATATCGATGCCAAAAAGATGGGGGAAGGTGATGTGGAGAGCAATAAGAGCGGCTATGATGAGGTCATCATCATCATTGTCATCCATGCCTTATCCAAAATATATGGAGTTGGGTAATATGGTCAGTATGGGAAGAAAGAAACAATTTTTTTGGTAATAAATAAAAAATATAACTTATTGATAGAATAAGGTAATCCACTGGGTCAAAACAAAGGAGATCTTCAAGGATTTCTCTGTTGATGATTTTAGCAGAGAGTGGAGTACAATAGCAGCCTCTTCGACTATGAAGGTGACAACTCAAGTAGTTTGGACACTTTCAACGAGAAATAGAGTGAAATTGTATTATCCTAGAAGCTTCTATGGGAATCCTGGTCCCTCAGGTATAGGAGGAGCGTTCAGAGATGGAATTGGATCTATTTTGGCCCTTTATTCAGGTACAATAGGCATTGAGGACTTAATGAAAGTAGAAATAACTTCTCTCCTGCAAGGGTTAAAACTAGCCAAGCAGTTGAATATGAATCAAATAGAAGTCAAAGGAGATTCCATGCTGGTAGTGGGCTGGATGATTAATAGTAATGTGGATCTGTGGATGTACAGGAAGGAATTGAGAGAAATCAGAAGGCTAGCAGGAGATGTTGAGACAACCTTCAAGTGGAGTAATAGATAGCAAAGCAGGGGGTGTTAAGGGAACATTTATTTTGGGCTAGTTTGTACTCATAAGAAAAAGGGTGTCTCTGGACAGGAGCTATGTGCTGCTACTTAATATCTTAATGTTCTAATTAATACAAGTTATCAGTTACCTGTCTAAGAAAAAGATCCTACGGCATTATCTCTCGTAATGGCCTTTCTAACTTCTCTACTAGGCCTTTTCCTCCAGGTCTGTAAAAAGATCAGAATAGAAGGCTTTGGCAATATCTGTCCTGTTAAGGGTGATGTAAATTTCATCTGTGTATAATTGGATCAAATTGGATCCAATATAGTCCGGTTTGATTCGATTTAAATGATGCTTATATATTCTTAAAATTTATTTTCTGTCTATTAGTGAACATGCTTTGAATTTATCTTTTTTACTAAGGAGTCATTGGTTCAAGTTTTATAAAATTTATTTTCAATATATTTTGTTCATAATATACAATACCAATGTCATTTTTTGCTCATTCTATTAATAATATATAATATTTTGATCAATTTTAGTTTAATTTATTAATGCCATTCTATCTGATTGCAATCCGAGTTTGATTTTGTTCTGAATTTAAACAAATCAAATTTGGATCTACCTCATATTTGATTTGATCTGAATCATCTTATCCATTTGCAGCCCTATAGCTTGTCATCCACCATCAGTCTTTTGATCAAAATTTCTTTTCTTCACAAGCTAACTGGTGGAAAAATTTAGTATTACCATCTTCTTCTTGCAGCATGTGGCCCTTGATCTTGGGTGTCATTCTACTCCCTGGTGAGTGTGCCTGTCAAATTGCTGCTTAGCATCCAAGCTTTTTAATCTTTCTTTGTGGACCATTGCTTCACTTCTTCGTTATGGTCAACCTGTGATAATAGAGACTTAGAGAGCTCCTCCCCTTTCTCCTATTCCACTTTCTCAAAAATGTTTCTTTTCCATTCCTTTATGTAGCTCTTTGAAAGCTTCACTTTGATTGCAAAAATATGACTAGCTGTCCCTGACTTCCACCAATTCTGGGTCAGCCTAGCCCATGGAATTCTCCACCCACTTGTACTTGAATCTAAAAGGGTCTGGGTTACAAAAAAGAAAAAAAAACCACTATTATCAAGTAGTGGTGGGATATGATCAGAGATTGGCCATGGAAGAGCTTCTTGAGTCATTCCTGGAAAAATATATTCCCAATCTGCTGACCAAGCTTCAAAAGGGTTGGTGTTTCCTGATTATTTTTCCTTGTGAAATTGCCCCAGACAAATGCAGATCCATAAGATCTCAATGCTCTTGGAAAATCTGAGAAACTTCTCATATCTGCTTTGCTGTAATCTCATTTCTGGTCCTATTTAGGGAGAGTCCGACAGTGTTGAAATCTCCAGCAATAACCCATGAGTTTCTCCACCTAGATCCCAAGTCATCAAGCTCCCACCAAAGTTCTCAGTGCTCCTAGTCCATACACCTTGTTAACAGCTATTGGAGACTGTCCGCATTTTATAGAAGACAAGAAACAGGAAAACTTCCATTTAGGACATCCGCTTCCTTTCTTGGTATCTTATATGATTACTGCTCTTTCTGTGCTCACTGCTGGCAGAAAACTCCAGTTGCATGGCTATGCTCCCCTAATTCTGACAATTTTTATGTATTAATTAGTATAAGTAAAGCACAATAATAGTATACAACATTTGATGAAGTGTCTGCCTTGCCCTTTTCCTTGCCTAGAATGGCACCCATTCTGACAACATTTATGTATTAGTATGAATAAACACAATAATAGTATACACCGTTTGATAAAATGTCTGCCTTTCTCTTTTCCTTGCCTAGAAAGGCACCAAACATGCATACAGAGGGTGTGATATGAAGATGCTCCCCAGAAAACACCTTGCCACCTAGGCATTGCTTACTTACCTACCTAGTTGTTGCCTTGATACCTATGTTGAAGCCTGCATATGAAAAAGGAATACACAAATTGAATTGTATAAAATATTATATGAATGGCATAAAAATAATAGCAGAGAAAAAGAGATGTATAGTGGATTTAGCTTTGTCTATTAATAGAATTACTGGCATATTTCTGAAACATAAAGATGATATGGTGTTTAAAGTACCTAAATTGTCAGTTGTGTTCCATATCAAATTCTTCTTTAATTAATTGACCTCTATCTTTTTGTTTCATTTTTCTGCCACCGACTGCAAGTTTGTTTGATTACCTGGTTTTACGTTTTATGCAGATTTCCCTTTCTGTTGCTTTTGTTAAATGAGTTCTTATTCAAGTATATTGCTGCAGGTAGCTCAAGAAATAGAGACAGAAGCAAAATTTCAGAATGACTTTCTTGCGCAGTTGGTAACACCCCAACCTCGAACCCTTTTTCTCTAGTGTTAGTACTGACACAATCGGTGTATTTTTGTTAATGACTAAAGAGAAATTATATTCATCTATTCTGTAGCTACTGATGAAATATAAGTATTTTTAGTAACATGTTCTATCATCTGGTTGATGAAATCAACTGTTTTATGCTCTTTTTTTTTTTAAATTTAAAAAGTATTTGGGAAAAGACCCTATATTGCTAACAGATGTATAGACTCACTATATAGAAATTTGATCCTTGCACATGTTTTCAGGGTTCTGCCTGATAGTTATGAATACATTAACATTACTTTTATAAAGAACTTCTTACTATCATTTATTTAATCTTGATCTCATTGTATTTTTTTCCTGGTAAATACCAAAGGTTGGGACCTTATCCAGTCTACCCCTCCCAAGATGCCTGATAGCTGGGACCAACATTGGGTAATGGCTTTTTTGATATATTGATATTTACTTGTAAAATAGGGGATGACTTGGGAACATCCTCTTTTTAATAAAGGGGGCACACTCCAGGTTATTACACTGAAGAGACAAGATACACAAGAGTTCCCCTGAGTATTAGTATATTATTATAATCAGAGATCGCCTTTTTTTTTTTCACTGAGAATATGGTTTATCAATAATGGGTTGCTCTAAATCAGCCCCCTTATGTATCTCATTACTTCTGATGGAGCGTACCAGTTCCTGCCATCTTTAAGGAACACTGCCAGAAAGTGAAGACATGATTGGTGGTCTTGTAAGATACAAGAATGTCAACTTCAGACTTGGTGGTCAGCCTTTAAAAGTTCTAGTTTGCTTATGATAGTTCATGATTATTGTCTGCTTTTATCAACTTTGCACTTGAATTTGCTTTAACTTACAATCCAGTAATTAAATTTGAAAATTTAAACCTTTTCACTTGCACACAAAGATGTAGAATACCAAATATGCTCACTTGGAGTTTGCATCTGGGTATTTTTGTTTCAATTTTAGCATCTCCATTTCTTGGTAGCAAATTTAAACCTTATGATAGTTCGTGATTATACCATCTTCTAAAGAAATTCCTGCTTCTGATTGTTAAAACAGCAAATGACATTAATCAAAGCTCAAGCAGGGGTAAAGAACAACATGAGGAGGTTGAACAAGAGCATAATCCAGCAGGGCTCGAACCACGTCTTCCATGTTATCTTGTTTGCACTATTTTGTTTCTTCTTAGTCTACCTGTGGTCCAAGTTTTCTAGGAGATGAGAACAAGATTTGTTATTTCATTTATCAAGGCCAAACTATAGTATACATTAGGTCTTTGCTAGCTATATTAACAGCTAAAAAAAATCAAAATGTTGGTTCCTTGTAAAGCCGCTTTCATATTGGAATGGGTCGTTGTTAGTTGCTTGCCTTGTAAAGGTAAAACTTAATACCAATGTCTAATACATTTTAACATCAATACTTCATCATGCTGGGTGGATAATAAGAGAATTGACCGTATAGGGGTAGATAACTTCTACTGGTTGTTAGAACTTTAACAAGTGTCACAAGCTTTAGTGCTTTACTGTATTTATCTAGAAGGATTAATTGTTGAGAAAATTGAAGGGCCAATGGGTTGCTAATTGCTAATTTGCTACTCTAGACGATGTAAAGATTGAAAGCAGTAGCTAATTGACCAATTCATCATTATAGGATTTGGGCAGTATGTGCGCGTTTGGGAGTGCTGAAGCGAGACTTATGGTTTTCCAAGTGGGCCACACAAGGACAGCATATAGGCTATGATTGGTGAAAAAAATCCAGAGAGCGCAAATAGATTGTCAGCCATTTGAAGGGCTGATGCTGATTGCTTCAACCTCTTTAAATAGCTCATACGAAAGTGATTCAAATAGATGAACCAGCTTAATTGAATTTTCACCTCATCTTCCCAAACGGGTCCTAATAGCTCTAACTTCTGGGTTATCGCGTCTCTTTGTAATGTCTGTCTGACAAACAGTTCAACTGTTTGTTTGATTTGAATAGATGATTTTAATTCTAGGAATCGAATTCCAATTCTTGTATCAAAATCAGATAGACTCGGAACGTAGACCTTGCGGTTAAACATGGCAAATCTGCAGCTTGAGGGTAATAAGGTCATTTTGTATTATCTAATATCTTTCTGTAACGTCATCTTGCAAGCATCATGCTATGAACGTCATCCTATTGAAGAGACACAACTACACAAAAGACAGGACGGGGCCCACCTAGCGTCGTAACTTCTAACGAGAATATAACAAATCGGATTTCCTGTCAAGCACTACTCTCTACCCGCCTTCAATTGCAGCCACACATCGCAATCTTATTTTTTGTGAGATGTGTGGCTGTAGTGTACTGTTGGCAAGGTGCGGGTAGAGAAAATGAATACGAAATCTGGGTTCAGATTTTAATGCAAGGCGAGGGCCATTTAGTAAAGGGAAAAGTACGGAAACACACGATGTGGGGCTGTAGTGTATTTCTTTCTGTAGCCCCGGTTTATGAAATTTATTTTTATAAATAAATAAAATATTATTAGGCAGCTTTAAAAGATTTTGAACCTTCTTTCCCGTACTGGTTAGGGCTACCATCTATGTTGCTTGCAGAATCATCTGACTAGAACCCTTTTGTTTTGAACCATTAGATTCGGCTTTCAAATAGAAATACGGTAATATCGTTCGATTTGTCATTATCGGGTTCCAATCCAATGGATGAAAGGTGAAACCCAGTATAAGCCTCCTTACGATGTCATACTAAATCAAAATTCAAAGGTAGGCAAGGTAACGATAATATGACCGTTAAAAAAGGGAAAAACTTTACTTTATTTCAGACATACGGCGTTTGGCAGGTTGGTTAATTAATTGGTTCGGCCCCTAAGTCCTTTAGGTTAGTCAAGGATGGTGGGATCCACCGTGGAATTCATTTTTTAGGGTTTGCATATTTTGTCAGGGACTCGCCTCGGGAGCCTATTTTATCTAACGGTCGGTGACTTTAGTCTATCAACCCCGCTCGTGGGCCAGAATTCAAATAGGGCTATAAATAAGTCTGATCAGATCCTATCCGATTAAGATATTAATTCGTTAAGAGACAGATTTGGATATCTCCAGATCCTAATAAATCGGATTGGATTGGAAAAACTGATCCGTTAACGGATCGAATTCAGATATTGATTGATCCAATCCGTTGTGACTCAATCTAATCCGTTAATTATAAAATATTATATTATATATATATATATATTCTATATATTATTTATATAATTATATATTATATATTTAGTGTATTATTATATTATAGAAATAATATAATATATTATTTATATTACATAAAATAAATACAATTTTAATAGAATTGGATTCGAATCAGATATCCGACAATAAATTTAAATTCAAATTCATGCTTTTGAAAATCCCACGTATCCTTAGTGGATTCGGATCGGATCAGATATACCCTTGTCGAATCCGATCCAATCCGTTTGCAACCCTAAATTCAAAGCACATTAAAATTGAATTGTTGATGGACAGCGGGACAGGGACCGCCCAGAATGCGACTGTGGACCACAAAATGGTCTTCTTAATAAATGATAGACTGGTCCGACGACTGTTGTTTAGCTCTTGATATGCGTCAGAATTTTTATATTGCTTTCCCATTATTTTTGTCGTTTTTCTAATTTTTAAAAATCTAAAATTAAATAAGGGGTTATTTAAGCGGGGATTTTATAAAAAACTTTAACAAAATTTTAGAGATTGCCAAAATAACGATATGTTTTGAAACATATCGCAAAAACAGTGGTTGGATAAAAAAGGTATCTTTATTTAGGGGTGCGGTTTGGTTAACCGAACCGTGAGCTGATTTTTGAAATCGAATTAAGGTTATCGGTTTTTGAAAAATCAGTTAATTGGTTCGGTTTTTTAGTTTTTTGATTTTTTATTATTTACAATATTTATGGGTTAACTTTGGCTGTTAGGGGCCAATAACTTTTCCTGTTGAAAGAATTTCTGGGTCGGGCATGTTCACAGCAGTTCACCAATTCACGGGCATGCTTTTATTTTTACTCAAAATAAATCAATGGACAATTACTTATTTGCCCACTCTCATAGTAACGTGTCCAACCTAGAAACTCTCTCAACAGGAAAGGTTGTAGCCCCCAACAGCCAAAGTTTTTCTAATCTTTATTATAGAAAAATATGTAAATATATAATAAAATACTAGAAATATATATATATATATATATATATGTATATATAAATGTTATATTTTAAATAATAAATAATATATTATATATTATAAATATATATAATGCATATTTATTAATTTATAATGTATAGAAAATAGAAAATATATATCTATATATAAGTACACATAAAATATATATAAATATATGTATACCGGTCAGTTCAGTTAACCGCCAGTTTTCTATTTTGGCTAACTGAAATTGAACTGATACCTTCAGTTTTTTAAAATATTGAACCAAAACCAAACCGATTGGTTTGATTAATCAAAATTTCGGTTTGGTTTTGGTCGATTTTTTTCGATCGATTCAGTTTTTTGACTTTTTGCTCACCCTTATCTTTATTTAACCAAATTATCTGTTATTAAAAATCCCAAAATTAGCTTGTAAAGCTTTTAGGTTGAACATAAACTTAAGATGTCAAGTTTTTTTGGTACTTAGGTATCAAATTAGTATGTTAATAAAATTCATATTTCACGACAATTCTCAGTTAATATAAATATAAAAATTTAATTTTCATTTAGATCGGTAATGAAGTCAGAGGCTCACAGCTGAGTCCAGATCTCCTGCAATAGTGTGGGCGAGGGTGCACATCAAATTACAAACAAATACGTCTTGTGTTCAGATTGTGGACCCCGCCCATATATGTGGAGTGAGACAAACGGTAAAGTTCCCGTTAAAGTTAATGTTTTTTATTTTTTAAACTAAAAAATAGGAACCCAAATTCGTGCCGACCTTGACTTCAAACAAAAACTCGTGATGAAATCTTAGTTATACACCATTAACGATTGAAGACCTCATTCTTTCTTAAAGTTGTGTTTGATTTGAAGAAAAAGGTAGGAAAAAGAAATAAAATATATAAAAACCTTTACAAAACCTTGTATGGATTTTCTATCTTTTCTTTCTTTTCCTTACCTTTTTTTTTAAACCAAACATAGCCTAAGCTTTAGACACGGGTGAAAATTCCACTTGCAAGCACTCATTTGCACTCCTAAATCTTTATTGCGGAACATGGGATTTAATTCTGATATAGGTTTTCTTCTTCAGTCAAGAATAAATTTTCTTCTTCCATCTTTGGTCAAGAGTGAGATTCATTCAATAAATGAGTCACAAGTCTTCTTCTTCTTCCCAAACTTGAATCTTTCAGATACGGGATTTAATCATCTTCAAATCTGAGTTTTCTTCTTTAGTCAAGACTGAGTTTTTTTATTCCATATATGGTCAAGAGCGAGTTTCAATAAATGAATCACAGTTCTTCTTCTTTTTCCCAAACTTGAATCTTTCAAGGTGAGGTTCAAATTGATGAAAAAAAAAAAGTGCCCATAGATTCATTCATTATTTTGCTAAAAAGTATTTTTTTAATGTTTTCTTTTCAAATAATCTATCAAACAAAAGAGTGATGTTCCAAATGATTCTTTGTAATAAACCTCAATTAGCTTCTCTTTTGATGGTTATTTCTTTCTCTGCATTGCGTTTGAGCTTCCTTGTTCGAGCAGCTTTGGAGATTAGAACCTCTACCTCTTGAGAAAAAATCAATACGGCAAAGGGAGATTGGATGACTTTTTTTCTGTTTTGAAATTGACACAAAATTAGTTGCCCATCTAATAGAGAAATAATTCCCTTTAATGCTTAAATTTGTTAAATGCATAATCCATATTATCCCTTCTCCTTGAACCTTTATTTAAGGCCGCGTTTGATTTCGGTAGAAAAATCATCGATGGGTTTGAAATTTTAATGGACCATTGGAATTGTACATCGATGTACATTGTAAACAAACACGTGAAAATATGAATCAAGTGTGGAATTTTATACCAGTTTATATTTACACCGAAAACAAATACAAGTAAATGCAAATCAATAGTGGAATTTAACGTCGATTTACACCTAAATCAAACGCAGCATAATGAACATGTCACGGACCCGCTAATGGGCCCATGGGCCAAAATGATTAAAGAAACTTAAGGGAGTCATTGGGGTGGATAAGGTTTGGTTGTTGAGAGTTTTGTGGATAAATATCTACTTGGGGTCTGTTAAAAGTGATAGGTTGAGTCTAGGATTGTTGGGTCACATTGGAAAGTTATGTGGAGAGTGGTATAATTGAGGGTGGGATAAGTGGTCAAGTTGTTGCTTAATTTTAGGAGCCAAGTTTTTAGGATTCAGTTATTATCCAAGAGTCTATTTAAATTGTAATTTCCCTCTTAATTAATCATTATGAGAATTATCTTT